ATCATTTATCGATTACATTCAATATACCAGAAGATTTCGCATAGGCGGACATAGGGTAATGTAACGACGAGGTCCCAAGAACAAATAGTAACCACATCCTCTCACTTCTGTTCGCTTTAGACTGGACCAATGTATGTCGCCAACCTCTTCGAGTGTCTATGAGAGATGTCCATATAACCTTGATTCGAGATCTGTTGAGGAGAATATCACAGCCTCTCAAGTCCGGGCTTCAGGAGTGACTTGCTGCTTTTGTCCATGGCTAGAAACTTGCATTGAACTTCCCTCATCACACTGATTATCATGGCTGTCATTGCCTCTAAACGCCAACCAGAACCCCAGTGCGGAGATGGCCATCACGGTTGCCAATCCCGTATAGAGATACATAACTTCCGGATCGACTGCAAGAGGCGACACAGCCATGCCGACTGCGGATCCAATACCTGCGATAGCTTGTCGCAAAGCTTGCACCAAGCTGCGCATATCCTTGGGAGCTTTAGAGTAACTATATTCGGCTAATGTCGTGAAACCTAGAATCTCCGCAAACGCTATCTGAAAGTACACGGGCGTTTGAGCCCAGATACTTATGGAATTGGGCGTACTGCCACCGCCCAAGGCTGCACATAGAAGCGGCCTGTCGTAGCAAGGTCCCTTGGTGTATATCGCCTTTTGTAATCCAGCGGCTACAGCCATAGCAGCACTCATCACAGCAAACCCAGTAGCCATACGAATAATAGGGCCAAACGCAATGCTATACTGTCGGAAAGTAGGATAAAGAGCTTTCTGTATGATTGGACCGAGTAGAACACAGGCAATTGGGTTGAGAGCTTGGACGGTATCATTCGGAATTCCGTCTATTTGCATTTGGCCAGCTTGAGACACCAGATTGTTGGCGATTTGATTCATACACAAGTAGAAAGTTACGAAACAGGCCCTTGTTTATAAAGTTAATGGGTGGCATGTAGTACTTCTTAATGAACTTGACTCACATGACTTTGCATGCTATCAATCCCTTCTTCATCTCTGATACAAAAGAATCATCCCATTCCACAACCCTTCCGTGATGTTCTGCTTGAAAGGCTGGTCTTGCTGAGTCGAGTCGGAATCGCTCCCGAACCGCGCACACAATGACTTTAGCTGCTCGGGGCAAGACATTTCCCTGCGGTGGAATTTTCACTGTCTGCTATCAGTAAATGCTAATGGCAGTAATGAGACAGACACTTACCAAATTTCCTGTGCCGAATTAGCAGCAGCGGTAAAGACATCCAGAACAGGGACAATGGCAGGAGATAAGCGGCCCAGAAGGACACCTTTTTCTCCAGATATGTTGAAGCAATTAACGAAAGGCTGGCAATGTTTGTGAACCTTGCAAAGGATCTTAGTTATGAGCATATAGATACTAAACAGGCATCTAACCAGTAGAAAACGTTATAAATATACTGAATAGTTAAATTTCGGTCTGCGACCACCCACTTGCCTGCCTTCGTGGTCACTAGTTGGGGAGTCAATACCGGGTATTGGTCCGCTATGACACATAATTGGTTTCATAAAGAGCTAGAGGGGGTTTGTTGTAGGGGGTTTGTTGTTGTTACCTATGAATGGTGATATAGTCGCTTTCACAGCCCCAGTTCCGAGTCCAAGAAGAATCATTGACAGACTTAGGCCAAGAATATTAATGGAATTGTGGGTTACAAGTGGTAGCGACGTAATAAATAGGACAATGCAGCCACAAAGATTAAGGCTAACTAGTGGTCAATATCAAAAGCATTTGTTAGAGAATAGGGTAGTAGAGCTTACGCGAAGCCAATACAAACAGTTTTATAACGCCCAATCCATACATCTGAAAGGATTGCGAATGGCAGGGGTGTCAAATATGAAAACATTGAGAAAGCGCTGGAGATATTTGTAGCAGTCGCTTGACCTAAGCCTAGAGCCCCGGGGATAGCGATACTTTTGTCGTCATTCTGTATGTAGTTCTCTAGAAAAATTAGTATAATTGCCATCATCGTCCAACAAAATTATTAGCATGACCCTTACGCCACGGAGCAGAAATAGCATAAAACGTGAATCTCTCTGCTGCACCAGCGAGCAGAGCGATCCACACAACTGACGGCACTTCGTCGACCACACGAGGCAGGTTCTTCAGTTCATCCTCAGTGGCTTCACGCCTTCTCTCAGTCACATGGCATTCATGATGCTCTTGAAGCATCTTGATACTCCTGGCTCAGGAGCGCGGAACTTCTCCAAGGACGGATGATACTGGAGAACCGAAATAATTACGGAGAATGTAGAGTAAACGGCGTATCAATGTCAATCACAAGGGATCGTCTGGCGACTTAGTTGGTAATATCTTCACTTGTGAGATCAACATAAGGTATCTTCAATGAGAGATTATGGGCGACAGTTTGCAATATGAAAGGCTTCCACAGTTACATGTCTTGGCTATAAGTATGAGAGATTCGGGGCTCGGCTCATACCCTTGATCTCCGTGCGCATATCCTGGCGATCTGTCTCCTGGTCCTTTCAACTAGTCCTTATCTGATGTCACTATACCGAAAGCCTAACACTACGAAAAGACTATTCATTCGAAATGAAGTTGACTATGACGAGCAGGATTGGGTGGCCCACACTCGGCTTCGGCCTCGGTACTAAAAGCTGTAACAACCCACAAATCAATCACTGTGCCGCAAATTCAACCCGTGGAATACATCCCCAAGTTTAACGCTAAATTAATTGTTTAGTCCCTGGTGTCCTTAAATATTATTTTCTTCACAAGTTGATCAATCTTGAGACCGCCAAATGACGCAGGCTGCATCAAACAGACGCATTTGGTGCCAAATAGACCCACATCCTTACGAAGCCATGACGAATACGTTCAGTTCAGAAGTATTCCGGATCGAGGCCCAAAACGCAAAAGGCATGGGCTGTAATACTCTTTGGCAGCGTTAAGTTGAAGCTAATGCAAAACGAGTCTAATAGGGTTTGAAGAAGTGTCGTGTCGTTGGAGGGTTTCTGCTCTATCGGCTGATGACACTCCCGTGTATTATGTTTATACTGCTGATCTATTGCTAAGCGTCAATGCCGAAGCACTCACTGATAACATTCACAAAAGCGAAAACAGCGGTACGATCCAGTCCGCTACGAAGACGGCCTTAGAGACTCTTGCACATCATTGCCAGAAGATTCGAGTGCCATCTGGTCAAGAGATGGCAACGAAAGTGATTCTAGTCCCTTTTAGCGGCTTCCTGTGCAGGAGCGATATTATTGAGCTGAGAATGCGGCATTGCGAATTTGTTGACTCGGTCATTCCATTTCCAAGTACCGATGACTATTATACCTTTATTCAGAACCCAAGAGAGAAGAGCATCCTTACGCTTTTATCTGCTTCTCCTGCAGTGCTAATAGTCAACATGCCTGCAGAGTCCTATTACCAGACACTGCATCAACTTGACGAATATTTAAAAATACGCTTTTCTTTTGATTGGCTACTACCGACAAAGACTATCAAACATAAAGTAGCCGTGATAGGGGGACGCCCAGCTTTTGACATCGGGAAAGGATCATTTGGTCATCAAGGATCGTTTGAAGCGGCTCGAGCTCTCAATATTTCTCTGATCATTGTGGATCGGCCTGGACACTGGCTTGGAAGTGACGAACATTCGCACCTGAGAAGTAGTTTTATTGGTATTGATGTGACAGAGGACGTGGAGCTACCCTCAAGGATCGCCGAGGCATTGAAAAGAGAAGCAATCGATGCCATCCTTACATTTTCGGACGAATTTGTTATTGCAACCGCAAAGGCTGCCGTTTTGTTAAATCTTCCAACGGAACCCGTAGAGGCAATCTTACGGGCTCATAACAAGTACGAGACGCGCAGATTGCTCGATTTCAACATCCAGGCCATGCAGTTAGATGGAGGACGGCAATTAGATGACTTTGTTATCATTCAGGAATTAAGAGGACTTCAATATCCGGTGATAGTCAAGCCATGCCGAGGAGGCGGCTCTCGAGGTGTCAAACGGATCGATACCTATTCAAGTCTCCAACCAGCCATAGACTAACTCGAGGAGGCCGGACTAACGAGTGATGGCATATTAATAGAGACATACATTGACGGACCAGAGGTAGATGCCAATTTTGTTCTTTGGGACGGAGAAGTCTTTTTTTGCGAAATATCAGATGACTTTCCTTGCACGGCCGATGCTGAGGAAGCTACTATCTTCGACAATTTTGCCGAAACAGTCATGGTTCTGCCAAGTCGCCTCAACCCTAACGAATTGAGCACCATCCAATCAACTTTACACAAAGGTCTCCTCCGATTGGGATTCCGCTCTGGAGTTTTTCATCTTGAAGCCCGGATCCAAAACTCGGCGATGCGTTACACAGTAACAGATGGTGTCGTAGATTTAAGTCAAACAAATGCAACCTCTCAGGCTGGATTAGGCGTGGTTCTGATAGAAGTTAATGCTCGGCCGCCAGGATTGCAATCTGTCTTCGCAACTACTTACACTTATGGAGTGGACTACTGTGCTCTTCAATTTCTTCGGGCGCTGGGGGATGGTGAACGTTTCACGGCCCTTTCCAAGTCTTTCTCCTGCCATGCACAATACTGGTGTGAGATTGTTTTCATTCCAATACATCGCAAAAACATCTTGGTACCACCCAATTTTTGTGAGGACGTTCTGCAACAGCTCCCAGATATTGCGCCATACCTTTATAGGGCTGAGTGCACCACCTTCAGGCAGGTCGTCTCTCCTGTTGGGGGTACGGGATTCATTGGCTATTTCTTGTTGTATACGAGAACCAGTAGAACGCATATGCTCAAGATGGGAAATCAAATTAGGGATGTATCTAGAATGATTCTAGACAGTCCTCGTTGAAGAGGTCTGTTCGATGAGTAATTTCCCCAATCTACTTTAGCCATAACACGTGCTCCCTGTCGGCGAGATTTCCTCGTATGGTAGGAATCTTGCATGTGATTTGAGTTATAGATAGATCACAGTCTACAATTCATCCTTTCCTGACTCGGGTACCGTAAAACTCTTTGTCTTGGTCATGCCCGCGAGAATATCTACAATCAAGTCAGCTGCAACAACGGAAGTCGTCTCAGCCGCCGAGTCATAAGGAGGGCTGACTTCGACAACATCAACTCCAACCATGTTCAGCCCTTCGAGACCTTTGAGAAACCTCTTGAGTTCCCGTGATGTCCAGCCTCCTGACTCAGGAGTTCCCGTTGCGGGTGCAATACTCGGATCCAGTACTAAAGTCAGGTGAGCAAATGTAAAATCTTCGAGCATCAAATCGCGTACCATCAATATCGATCGACAAATAGACCGGAGTATTCCCAACAGTCTTCCTCACTTTGGCGATGATCGCATTCATGCCGATGTCATCTATCTCGTGGGCCTCAATAATAGTAAATCCAACCACATCTCTGTCAATTTCGTAGTCCTTGGGGCTCTGTTGTTGTCAATTATCTTCACGCTAAATTTATCGACATCGTACTTACAAATAACTTTGTCCGCAGACCACCGTGAACACTAGTTCCTTTACTAATGCAACCTTCCCTGCTTGCGTGCCAGAAGAAAGTACCGTGCGTGATGGCGGACTGATTAGACACTATTCCAGTGTATCCTTCGTAGGGATCCCATCTAAAAAGTCATCAGCCAATGTTAACTTAGCAATTAAGTGTATCGTGATTGCTTACGTATCCAGATGCGAGTCGAGGTGAATAACTGAAACAGGACCGTACACCGTCTTGAGCGCTCGAAGAATGGGCAGCACAATGGAATGGTCTCCCCCAAGACTAATGATACGAGGGTGCTCCCACTCGTCTGCCTAAAGGTCAGAAAGTCTCACTTAGTACCCATGAATCTGTGATGCTCACTCTGATCAGATGTCGGGTGGTACAGAATTTGACGGTATGCCTGCTCCATTTGCTTGAATGCATGACCAGCATCGAATGGCGTGACTGGAACGTCACCACAATCGATCTGCAAACTCAGTCAAAATTTGCCAACGAGAAGTGAGGCCAGTACATACAATCTCCAGTCCTTGCTCGTATGGGTCTACTTCCCATACTGTGTTATAGCTGCGACCCTTCTTCTCCCTAGATGAGCCTGCACGAATACCCCTGGGCCCAAACCGGGCTCCAGGGCGATATGACGTCGATGTGTCATATGGAAAGCCTAAAATGGCTACATCTAGAGGCTGAGAGATAACTAGTTAGATCCCCATCTCATAGCTCACAGATGTTCTCGAACGTACGGTGTTGTGCGATGCTGCCAAACAGCGCTGCCATTCCAGGTGCGCAAAAGTCACTGGTTGAGAAAACGGCAGGTCCTTGTCAAGATCTTCAATGGCAAGGGTCAATAAAACTCAGCAAGTACGAGAGGTAATACATACCCTCAATGGGATACTGATAATCGGGGCCAACATTAAGGGCGCCAACCGAGGCCGCAACTCCGAACAGGAGCAGTATACTGGGTTGCATGATGCAGCGGATATCAGATAACGGGAGTTGAGCTCAATGCAACAATGATAATATTTTGCACAACCCGCCCAAGTTAGGATTTGCACCTTAGCAAGCAGTGGTGAGAGGGAAATCGAGAATGAGCCACTCCTACTCTGACGACAGAATGTCGGTACTTCCGACAGAATGTGGGGGTTATTGTATGGATCTTATCATCACTAAAGCAAGCGTTGAGATAAGTGAATCAAAAGTGTGCATTGCATTTGGTAATGGCTGGTTCCAGAGGGAAGCAGTCAGCGAGCGCCCCACTCCGGGGCCGGCAATCTGCCCCGAACTCGGGGATGGCAAATCCAACGCCCTAGCATGCGGCAACACTCATCCCTACATCAAAGTACAATTAACTTGATTCCCTCGCAGACGTTGCTAGCTATGCAATCGGGCATATATGCGCAGTCGGGTATGCAGTGACATAATATAAGTCCTAAAATGCCAGTATCATTGCTCGAAACCAAACATGGAGAAAGATTGCGATAGTACAAATTGGAAGAAATGGACTTCCAATTTCAAGATTCTAGAAGAGGAATCTCTATCACCAATTGTTCGAAAAGGCGCATGCGCTATGCAGTATCAACCCTCGATTCTCGACCTGGGTGATCTGAACAAAGCAACATTAACTAATCAGGACATATAGCAAACCAGTGCTTTCTTCAAGAGTCGAAGAACTATCCTTCAGAGCGATTCTGACATGCCAAGCTTCCTCAGCTGCTCCATAAACCTTTGGCGACTACATTCTGGTCTCTAGCATTGAGCAGATCCTTCATTCGCCTCCCATAAGCGGATGTTTGGCCACCAAGCGTATCCCAGGCGGTTGAAACAGCCCAGGCTACGTTTGGCGCAGTGTTGATCCCACGTGAGGAAGTTAGACGTTCTGAATATGCTGGAAGACAGCGATATATATCCAACGCCGCTTGCCGTTCTGCAGCAATGTATTCGTTTTCGTTCCAGACCTGGTCACACAAAGCTACATTTTGCAACCCACATCTATTCGAGCATGTGTCAAACTCTGTATCCGGCCGTTCGCCGACAGATACCAGAATACGGAAAACGTAGATAAGTGCCGTGTTATAGAACATGAACATGACAGCGGCATATTCATCTGAGAAGTCGAAACCCGTGGTAGGGTGCCAGTCCGGCGAATCCTTCGTCGACTCGTGAGTCGGCCGCTGCCATTCAACAGGCATAGGAAATTCACAGTATGAATTCTTTTCATCGCCATCCCAGGCTTTCCGCCAAATGCACAGACGATCTAAGAGACCTAAGGTCATCTGCCTCGTTTCATCTTGTTCCATCAATCCATCGTTATGGCGAGCAACGAGGGCCGTGCAGTCTGCTAGAACATCCAGCAACTCTTGTTCCTCGAGCTCCGTTCCAGAAACATTGTCTTTCAAAACTTCCTTCCATTCGCTTTTAGCGAGAATAGACGGCTTTCCCACACGCAGCGAAGCAAAAAGAATCATCTGTCGCACCGACTTATGGAGCCAGCATGATTTATAAAACCCGAGTGAGCGGGGGCCACGGAGATCGAGGAGAGTTTGTAATCCAATCATGTGTTTTAGGTAGTGTCCTACGCCAGCAGGCACTATGCAGTCCAGTAATGCCAAAGTGATAACCGATAGAATCACCTCGTTAGAAGTGCAACCTTCCGGGTCTGATAGTGCCAAATTAAGTTGCTTTAATACCACTCCACGCATGACGTAGCCTTTCTCAACGATGGCTTTATCTCTATGCTGAGCACCGTAGACAATAACAGAGAAACTTAGGAAGGCTCGATGAAAGAGCTGTGCGTTCGATATGCTCATTCTGGAGGCTGTGATCTCGTGAAGCTGAGTGTTTTGTAACGCAAGGTCTAGAGGAGCTCCTTGGCGCAGATATCTTCGGGCATAGCAGAGGTAAATCTCAAATTCATTCCCTCTCAAAAGGGGAGACAGAGATACTTGAGTGTCAGTGGGAATACCAATCGCGGTATCGGATATCGGTGATTTCGTTGCCTGGTTATTGGATCTTCGAGATTTCACAATTGTTCCTTCAATGAATGTGATTCCTTTGACACCGGTGCATTCCAGGTTGCATTTTTGGCATCGCCAACAAGAAGGACGATGCTCATCTAAGGTAACAGTCAGATTTTGAGAGACGAGCTTTGATGTCGACTCTCCGAGCTTACCGCACTTGATACGCCGTTTCCGACAGTTGGAGCACCCTTTCGATCTCCCGCCAATATTCACCATGCTGTATCCTACTGCCAGCAGCTAGTGATAAGCGGTATAATGCCGCGAAGCGATGCCCAAGAATGTGACAAGACAGCTGCTTTTGTTGACTAAGTGAGGTACGGCAGAAACCAGAGGCTAAAAGTCTGTCTAAACTGACTCTCAGAAGTCAATATATGCTAGCAAATGGCGTCCTGTGTCGCCCTCATGTCCTACTGAACTCGAAGTCTATGTATTCAATGTACAGACACACTCAGCTAGTGCAAGGTGGCAGGCTTGCGGGCTCGTAACTGAATCCTACAATATAACCTTGGCGGTCCAATGCGCGTGAGCTATCCTCGTCTAGCATCCTTTGGAATCATTGTCAGCAGTCTGAATCCTACGCTATTCCCTTTGCGGCTCATTGCGCGAGTAACCCTGTCTACTTTCTTGAGGCTGGAGAAGCGTTGAAGCAACTAGTAACCTTAAATTAAGTAGCTTCGCACGGCTGCCCCATCAAGATAGAAATCTGGGCAATAATAGTCAAAGAATGTGCCAAATTTTTGGCATTATGTGTGCTATTATCACCTTTAACGGCATATGCCTGCCTCCTTCAGCAGGGGTCGACTGATATTAGTTCCTACGAAACTCGGTATCGACAATATAAGAGGGCGGCACCGCTTCGAAGGTCCTCTCACCTTATCTACACGCTTCAATATCTCTTCGGACCTTCAATTCTCTCTGGCTCCTTTTGTTGTTTATCTCGATATCTCAGCACAGCACCCCCGATATTAGCAAATTGACTGCTCCAAAATGTATACTGTTAGTGCAAGCATTGACATTGCAGCGCCCCCAGAAACCGTTAGAGCAAAGGTAAGCCATACAAATTAGATCTACTAACATTGAGGGCAGCGTGGTCGGTCTTAGAGTTTAAATTTTTCATCATTAGTACAGCTTTATTTCCACATCTAACAACGTCTATGCAGTTTTTGGAATTCTCCCAGATACCAAATTATCATCCAGATGGTTTTTTCAAGTCTATCGGCCCACAAACTCCAAACACACCTCTCGAGCCTGGTATCAAAATGCACAATGTCCTTGAACTCATGGAGGTCACCGCTACCCTAGTTGTGCGTCCCCACAATCTGCTCTCCTTGACAGAGTTATGCGTTCAGGTCTAACAATCCGGGCTAGGAAAACTCTCCAACTTGCTTCAAATGGGGAGGCGGACCCAAAGGTATATTTGTTGGGTATCACAGCTTCCATTTCGAGCCAAGCACTCAAATACAAGGTGGAGCGACTTTCACCCAGACAGAAGTTTTCACTGGCCTTTTCGCATTCATCATGGGAGAGAACTTCATTGCGAAGATGATTGGAATCACAGAAAAGACGAAGAAAGGGTGGGCCAAGTACAATCATGATCTTAAAGCATGGTGCGAAGGATCAAACAGCAGGACCGAGTGATGCCTAACGTCACTTCAAGCAAAAGTGAGCGCAGAAACGGCTGTCTCATCTCATTATCGGCGCGAACCATTATCTTGGAAGTCTGCGACGAATTTGCACAGCTCAAGTATCCCAAACTAGTTAGGCACTATCGCCGCTTTGCTCAGGGAGCGCTCACCTGAGGCTCAGGTCTGCTCAGTCGTGGCTCAGGCACACAGACACAGCCAGCAGATTTCGTAGGGATCAAGATGCCTGAAACCGGAATATGATTTTGGGTCTCCGTGTTATGATGACTCTTCGCCTCTACTTATGGGCTATTGTCAGTCTGGCTATAAGTCCGTTCTATATAAGGAGAGCCACTACTATATACTATTATCCTACCCTTCTCCTTATATCTTATCTTCTCTATCTTTATCATACAAACACTCTTAGTCTCTACCTACTCTTGCTTGACCTTTCCTACGTTAGCGTTTCTTTTAAACTTGTTCTAGTCACTATACTAGAGAATATGGGTCAAGAAGAATGTTGAAGAGTACTTCTACCTAGCAAAGAATAAAGGCTTAGAAAATATAACCTAAGGGATCAATACTAAGATAGTATATAAAGGGCTAGATACATTGAGTTGGGGGAGCAGGGT